GAGTGCATATTATCTTACTATGTTGTCATTATTATTAGTGCTTTATAGGTCAGTAACATGGTTAAATGAAGCCACGTGTACGTTATGTTTCAATTGTTTAGAAAAACATATATACTTAGTTTATTGTTTGAAAATGTATCTATTGCCCACAGGCCTGTGAGAATTAAAGGACTACACTCAGCCTGGTGCCTGAAATATAATAAGCATTCTGTAAGGGTGACCTATACAACTATGATTATTATTGATGTTATTACCATCTCAGAATAAGCAGTTAAAACTCTTTACCTTCTTAGTGGTTTTATTGTGATGTGAAAATGGGAAACTGTAAAAGTTTGAGACTCTTACAAAGTCTTTAGTAGTTCTGAGTCCATTCTCCCTTGGGTATTTATTTCTAGAGGGGTGGGGGGCTCATCAAAATACCCGTCTCCTTCTGAGCCTTTCATAGGACCTGCAATCGAAGCAGAACTGTGTCCTCTCTGGGAGATGAGAGAGACATCCTGTCCTAAGAGGCTCCAGGCTGGGTGATTTCCATTCTCCTGGGACTCTACAGGGCTTACTACACATATTCTTTATTCTAGTCAATATTCACAACAGTCCTATGAGTTAATTCATACGCCTTTGTTCACATAAATAAATAGCCTCAGAGAAGTTAAATAAAGTAGTGTAAAGCTGTTCAGCCAGCAAATGACAAAGAGGTCATTCAAACCCAGGTCTCCCTGATGCTAAAGCCCCAGCGTCTCCCCCGACAGCATGCTGCCTTTGGGCATCTCATCACAGAGGGAAACTAATATATATTTCTTTGTTTTCGGGGAAAATTCTAAAGATGTGGCTGGAATATTCTGACTAGCACCTATCACTAAATAAAAATAACAGCGGTTCATAGTTATTGATATGTGCTAAACACAACAGCCGTATGAAGTAGGTGCTATCACTGTCCCCATTTTACAGATGAGGAAACTGAAGCAGAAAGACAAGTAACCACCTGTCTAAGGCCATGTGGCTGGAATGTGAGCCCGAGCCCCGGAGGCTGGGGTCTTCACTTCAACACAATACTGCCTGTGTTGGATATCTTCATTTTGTCTCTCCAGGTGTGTTTTCTACCCTCCGTCGGCTCTGTGCTGACCTTTATGGAATCCCTCGACAGGACTCCCTGGCCTTTCNATGCCCTGGCTCTGTGCTGACCTTTACGGAATCCCTCGACAGGGCTCCCTGGCCTTTCCCTTTCCCGTTAGACTGGGGGAAATGGAAGGCACCAGGAAATGAGAAGAGATGAAGAAGCANGTGCTGACCTTTATGGAATCCCTCGACAGGACTCCCTGGCCTTTCCCTTTCCCGTCAGACTGGGGGAAATGGAAGGCACCAGGAAATGAGAAGAGATGAAGAAGCAGCCTGCAGCGGATCTTTGCTTCCATTTCCCAAGAATATAACATCTGTGAGCAACTCTGAGATTCCAAACTTGGACTTCTCTTATACCAAAGGAAGCAGCAGTCGGATCCACTGACAATCGCCCAGTTTACGAAGAGATGGGGGAGTAAGACTGTCTAGTTCCGTTTTCATCTTCAGAGGCGAATTGTTTCAGTGCATCCTTGGGGTGTGTCTTAACTTGTGTTTCTAAAACGTAATACTCTACAAAGATTTACAGGCTACTCACACTTGGCCAACCAATTTCTTTACTTTGGTTTCCCCTTTATGTTAAATAGAGATGAAAGATACCTAGATCCTCTACTTAATCATGTAGGAGAGAGAGAAAAAACTCATGGAAAAAACTTTAAGCTAGCTCAAGAGAGTTGATACAAAAATAGACCTCACTAGGTCAGGAAGTTGATGAACTAGGTTAAGGAAAANCTTAATCATGTAGAAGAGAAAAAAAAAACTCATGGAAAAAAACTTTAAGCTAGCTCAAGACAGTTGATATAAAAATAGACCTCACTAGGTCAGGAAGTTGATGAACTAGGTTAAGGAAAAGCATAATACTCTCCAGCATTATGAAAAATCGCTCTGGAGTACAATGAAAGAACTTAAGGATGTGTATGGCTTCCCTTAAATTCTGTGTCTATTAAATGTACAGGTATCTCTATAGCATCTAGTTTCCCTAGAGTTTATAATGTTTATATAATAGGAATGTTTGGAACAATGAGGAAAGACAAATGGCTACATTATACACGAAAGGTTTTGTAAATCCAATTTTAACACTGTCACTCTGCTTTTCGTTAGCAAAATCTTCCACCACAGTGGCTTTCTGCAAGAAACAGGCTGACTTATATACAGTTCCAGGAACCCCTCTGCAGTATCTTTTCCTCGCACACAAGAAAAAAGAAACCATCTCTCCAGCCTCTTCCCACACGCTCCCACTCAAATTTATTTCCCAGTACCAGCTAGCCATCTGGTTTCTAACAAACACATTGGCCCAGTTTCTCCATTTGAAAGCAAAATAACAACATTACAAAGATTGTAATAATTCTAGTTAAAAAACATTAGGCACCTGCCCTGCACCAGTCCTCGGGTGGAATATTTACATGTGTTATCTCACTTAATCTTAGAAGAACTCTCTGAAATGGATAATTCTATTACTCCCGTTTTACAAACAAGGAAACTGGGGCCTTACAGAGATCATGTCACACAAAAATATAGAATTTTTATCAGTTAAGGATGCATTTACCTTCAGGCAACTGAATACTCTAACTGACTTAAGCAAAAAGATCATTTCCTTCATTCTGGAGACTTAGCAGTAGGATGGGTTAAAATGCTGAGTTATCCAAAGGTTTTGGATTTTCTTAGCTCTCTATTCCCCCTTGTATTTGTTTCACGTCTGACATAGATGAAGACACAGCAACAGATCTGAGATTCACATTTATGTAGGACAATATCTGGAAGAAGAGAACTTGTCCAAGACACCCTCAGCTAAATTCCCCTTGAGTCTCAGTGGGCCAAAGTAGAGGAGATAATCTTTCCTGAACCAGTCGGTGAGAGGGTTGAAATGGCCATGACTGACAGATAAATTAAAGGCCCATCCCTATCGGCATCAAACTCCATTTTATAAAAATGGGCAATTTTAGCAATGCTTCTCTCAAGTCCTGTTCTGCCTAACCTAAATTTAAAGATCAGAATACCAATTAATGATCTGGGAGAGAGACTATTAACAAACCAGTGGGTTAAATTTCTCTTATATATACCTGTATCTATAAAATGTTATGCAATATACACATTTTTATAAACTGTTATTCTTGTAAACTATTTGGAGGTTGTTAAAAATGATTAGGACTACAAAAATTATGCACCGGGCCACTTATTTAATAAATAAAGTACCTCTGTAGGGCTTATTTTCTCTGTTTAAGGCAACAACAACATTTTCAATTTTGTGTAAGCCAATCTCCCTGGGTATATGGATATAAGTGGAGTTATATTCACAGGGCGTGCCATGTTATTTTCTAGCTATGGGGCCCTAATGAAGCCTATGGTTATCCGCTTAAAGTTGCACCCAACTGGTACTGGGAATCACCCAACTGCGCTTGACTGCTCACAAACAGATTCAAACAACTATTCTTCCCAATGCCCTGGGTGCTGGCCATGTCTCTTTACACTGCTTCTCTTCCCCAGTACCGCTGCTGAGAACCACCACGTCCACTGGGTGTGGCATCCTCCGCTGGCACCAACGTCCCATCTGTCTGTGCTGAACTCCACTGCCACCTCCAACTAAGAGCCTAACAACACCCTGAGCGGGTGGTGTCCTCACTGATGCAGGAAAGAATAATGCCCTTTCTCACTAACGCCCTACTTTGTGCTCATAAATTGTGCTGCAGGGTCTCGCACAATTTCAGATGAAAAACAACTACATCCAGTGGCTTTTCCCTCGTGAGGGTCAATCACAGTCTGTGGGATGGGACAGGAAACCCAGTTCCTGAGAGAGTCCTGTGCTCTTCCCCAACTCTTTCTTCCCAGGCTCCCAAATACTCATGCAAATGTTCATACAAATAACGGCCCAGGGCTCCCCCCTGTAGTGACCAGATCCTGCCCAGGCATTTCTGATCCCTACAGTGGACGCATTATGGACTCAAGCCCATAACCCTCTCTGAGGCTGTTTTTCCCAAGAAAAAAAATTTTTAGACTCAAGTAACCTTCCAGGTTTGTATATTGTCTGTTGGTAAAAAATATTTTTGCTAGATTGTTTATTCTGGAAATCTTCAATGTCCTGTTAGTTCCATCATAATGTGATAAGAAAACTCTTTAGTTATAAGAGGATTACTGAGCCATTTCATTCCAGACACAAAGGAGTCTATCATGAAATTAACAGAACGTGTGTAGATACAGTGACCATATCAACCAAATGTGAATTATGCCTACGTAAAACCTTATCTTTACAGTGGCATGTTCCTAGAAACTTAAGTGGGAGACAAATAAACACTTTTTTTTTTTTTTATCACAGTGAAGCCAAGGAAAGGTGACAAAAGAGGGAAAAAAAGAATTGGGACAATTAGACATATCTCAAACACTTTTTTTAGAAAATACCAAGATTTTCATAGTAGGTAAGTTATAGATTTTATTACCAAAAAGTTTTTAGAAAACTATATAGTACTTACAGTTTTTACTTTTCATTTTAGAGATCAAAGTTCTTTAGAATTTTGCTCAATAACTTTCTACTTCAGTATACAAACAAGCCTCGTTTGGCCAGTTATCCAAAAACTGTGCATCAGAAATATGAATTGACCTTACGAAGCAACAAGAACTACAAAAGTGTTCGAATCCCACCAAATAAATTCTAAATACATTTATGCTTAAGTCTAAATAAGTTGTCAGTACAGCATAAGACAATCTAGAAATTAACACTAGATAAATCTATACTTCTCTGCATTGGTTTAATGCCTTTATTGACCTGTGGCCTAGGAAAATAAAACCTTTTTGTTTAAGTTGTTTTTGAAATCAAAGCTGTCATGATTAGGTTGGCCTAACTGATGTTGCTAAAGTAGCTTGTAATAAAAATAGACCCGCATTACGAAACTCACCTCGTTGACTTGCTTTTTGTCCAGGTGGAAGACTTGACCAGAACTGGTGGAGGCAATTTCTTCATAGACTTTGTATCCAATATGGCTCCTGTCATCACAATCTCCAGTGAGCACAAATACCACCTTTGATTTTTTTAAAAAGAAAACAATTTAAAGGGTTTTCAGAAATCAATATACATTTATTGAGCACCTATTATGTGTTCACATACAACTAGGCAAGTGGAATATGTATAATATATATTTACATATTCCTCCCTATATCCATGCACTTGGCAAAAGGTTTTAAAGTTCTTCTTACTAAGCAGATGAAGCTTATATTGTCATCTCTGAATCAAAACTTAGGCATGTGACTTGCTTTGGCCCATACTATCAGGCAAAAGGAACATTCTATCAGTTCTGAGCCTACACTCAAGAAGCCTTGAGTATTTCCACTTGATCTCTAGTGTTTCTGCTTTGACCATGAGAAGAACATTCCGATATCAGCTTGCTTACTGGTCATCGATAAGAAACTGAGAAGCCTGTGAGGCAGAGTCAAGTTACCCCAGAGATAGGCCTACATAAGCGAAACTCAAACTATCCCCAGACATACAAGTGAGTAAACCTAGCCAAGCTCATCTAAGTCCTCTTAACATGTGAGAAATAAATGCTTTAGTTTTAAGCTACTGAGAGTCAGAAATCCTTGTTACACAGCAACAGCTAACTGATACAATGAGTAACTCTGCTCTGACAAGATTCCACATAGGGGATGACAATTTAAATATAGGCCTTATTTTGCAAGGCTTATGGTTTTCTCAGTTATAAGGACACAATGATAACAAGCACCTTAATTAATACCCAAATCATTTCTTCTCTGTATAAAAACGACAAGGCATTCATATGCAATGTACAAATGTCACATATCCACTTACGTGTTTACATTAAATGACACATACATATTGGAGTACACATATATGGATTAACAGTCGTAATTATTGACATTGGCCACACATAGCATAGTCAAAGAGGAGATGCGAGCTCTCACATGCTGTACTCCTTTCAACTGTGTTCAGATGGATCGTTCAGGGGTTGCTTCCCACTCACCTGTGACTGTTTCTGTTGGATAAGCTGCAGCACCTCATGAGTGAGCCGATAATCCTTGGACCGTGCATCAGTGAAAACATAGATGAAAGAACCAGGAAGAGAAATTTCCAAGGCAATTTTTATAGCTCCAATACTCATTTCCGGGCAATCACCACCACCCTGTTGAGAAGTCGAGAGGAAAAAAATGCAATTATTTCAGAAACAGAAAAGAAAGGGATGTTCTGATTATGACAGGTGGCTTTAGGAGCTCTAGAACTGAACGAGCTCTCTTCACTTTGATTTTCTGTGAGTTAGCCACAGAAAATTAACCACTTTGGTTACGAGAAAATGGAAAAGATATACAGTGATGTGAAGGTGATAAAAAACTGTACCTATGAATAAATTAAAAATTCACCCAAAATATACAAAATAATAGAAATTGTTACATAGGTTTATTTTTTCTTGAACTTGTTGAGGTGACATTGGTTAATAAAACTGTAAGTTTAAATGTACAATTCTATGATACATCACCTACATATTGCATTGTGTGTTTACCACCCAAAGTCAAACATTCTTCCGTCACCATATATGTATCTGGCTCCCTTCATGCCCCCACCCTCTTCCTTTGGGTCACCACCATATTGTTGTCTGTGTCTATGAGTTTTTGCTTGTTTGTCTTGTTTGTTTCTTTGTTGCTTTCAGCTTTATATCCCACATATTAGTAAAACCATATGGTTCTTGACTTTTTCTGTCTGATTTATTTTGCTTAGCACGTCTAAAGCCACACCACCCTGAACACACCCAATCTCATCTGTTATGTTTTTAATTAAATGTTGATTCACTCTCCCATTCTCTTTCATGACTATTTCATACGTCTCTTCTTTTCTTACATCTTCTCACTCTTTTTTTTAAAAAAATATGTCTTTATTGATTTCAGAGAGATGAAGGGAGAGGGAGAGAGAGAAACATCAATGATGAGAGAGTTGTCACTGATCAGCTGCCTCCTGCATGCCCCCGACTGAGGACTGAACCGTGATCTCCTGGATCCTAGGTCAATGCTCAACCACTGAGCCACGCCCGGCTGGGCTATCTTCTCACTCTTATTTGATGGCCTTGCTTCTATTTTACCGGGGAAATGAAAGCAATCAGAAGAGAACTTTCATAAACTCCTGCTACAATACCTGCAAACCTGCCTGCAATAGCAGCCACATGCTCTGCCTTCTCCTGTGAAGGAGTCATTTGTGCTCACTGGTAAGGCTGACTACTCACCTGTGTCTAAGCAAGGACATGGCCCCTGTGGCTGTCTCCTCTCTCTACTTCATCACCAAACAATCCCTCTTTACTGCATCATTCTTACCAGCAAACAAACATACTGGTATATCTCCCATACCCCAAGTTTTTGCTCAAATGCTACCTATCAGAGAAGCCTTCCATGACCACCGTATATAAAATACACCCTCTGTGTCATTCTTTTCACTTTGCTTCATTTTTCCCATGAACACATGATCTCTGAGTTTTATTTTCTACTTGAACAGGCTCTATAAATTTTCCTAAACAAAGAACAATCCTCACTCTAAGAGGACTTCTTGTCGCATCTGATTATTTCCTTAGCATAAATGTCAATAACTACAGGGCCCAGGGAATGGACTTTCTACCAATCTGTTTTGAGCAATTAATAACTGCCCTTGCTAGGGTTTAGACACACAAAAATGAATAAGCTAAAGTACTGTTCTACAGGAACTCATAGTCTAGAACAGACAATCCAATAAAAAGCAAGGCAGCTTGGGATAATGGGGAGCTTTGGGCTTCCCCAGCCCGCCAGAATCCAATAAGAGCTCTTTCTCTAAAATAAAATAAATACTCCATGAGCCCTGGCCAGTGTGGCTCAGCAGTTAGAGTATCAGCCTGAGCACGGAGGGTCACTGGTTCAATTCCTGGTCAAAGGCACATTCCTGGGTCGCAGGTTTGATCCCCAGCCTGGTCAAGGCACGTGCAGGAGGCAGCCAATGAATGTGTCTCTCTTTTGATGTTTCTCTTTCTCTCTCCCCACCGCCCCCTTCCACTTTCTCTAAAAATCAATGGAAAAAAATATCCTCGGGTAAGGATTAACAATAAATAATACTTGATGGAAGGGATATGGTTTTATCTTCAAACTCTGGAGATTCTATTTGGGGTGCTCCCCAGGCTCCAAACAGTCTCAGACTCTGACACAGATATCTTGAGCATCATAGATCTAGTCAGTGTCATAAGAACCAAGCATTGGAATTGTTTATACTGCAGCCTGGAGGAGCTGGAGAATCTTTTCTTGCATTGGATCCCACTCAAAACTTGCAGCCTTTCATTGCCATTTGCAAGTGAGCTGGACAAGAGCACCGACTGTTATAAAATGCTTCTAAATTTGGGAAACCCATTAAGTATCATGTCACTTTCTTAATGGTAGTAGGGTGCTGGATGCTGTAGTGACCTATCTTCATTTTTGCGAAGATATCACTACAGACTCCCAGGAATCTTACTGAGTTAGCAGCCCCTTCTATTTTTGCAGGACTTATCTTCTATCCTCAATTACGTATATGCATTTCCATGGTATTTAGTTTAACAGATAATACTGCTTTTGAAATTTTGTGCACTCATATCCTCAGACTGTAGTTATCACCCACATTCCAATTTTCTATTTTCCATTACTTGTTACACATCTGCTCTTAGATGTTTTATGGGTCTCTACAATTCAATACATCTAAAATGGAAATCGTTATGTATTTCCTCCAATCATGTTTTTCCCATTTTTGTTAATAATACTATCTGCTTAAATATTCAAATGGAAGAGATAAGGTTTTATCTCTTTTTTTTCCTTTAAATTTATCTTTATTGATTTCAGAGAGAGGAAGGGAGAGGGAGAGAGAGAGAAACATGAATGATGAGAGTCATTGGTAGGCTCATGCCTCTGCCCAAAAGAATTCTTACCACCATTGCAATACTTACCCTCATTCCAACATGAGTACAACCTACTGAGCAGAGCCTAGTCTCAAAGTCACACTGTATTCCTTTCACATGGAATACCCACTGCTTGAAATGTCTTATGTGCATAATTTGCCCTTTACCTGTAAAATTTAGGAATGACACCCAGTTGCAAACAACAAAAAGTTTACAACCCTCAGGCCTTGTTCTTACAATACAGCTGTGCGAGTCTATGACCAAGAAGACATGTGGAGACCATCTGATTACACTGACTCTGATTTAAAGTTGGGTCCAAGCAAGTATAAAATAAATCAGAACTGCAGAATTCTACAGTCGGTAACATGTGCTGGGCTGCATCACTTGTAGAAAACAGGGCAGGGATGCGCCGAGAGACAATCCGAGCCCAAACTTTAAATCTCCGTAATCACAATGAAAGGAGATGTCTCATCCCAGGTGGCCCACCATGCGGTCCTTCACCAGTTTGAAGAAGGCGGAGTCCCGATCAAAGAACCGCTGACCTCGATTCCAGACACATCAAAGGTCAACAATTACAGCCATATCCAGGCTTTCGGGTGACCACCTGTCAGTGGCAAGGGTCTAACTCTTCAACAACTGATCTTCCAATCTGTTGGAACTTTTTTCATGTGTGGTCTCAAGAGGAGATTCAGTTCACTTCCATTCAAATAATCACAAAGATACACTATGTTCCTGGCACTTAATTTCTTGATAAATAAATCAGAAAGTGATGTGCCTTCATACTTTGAAACATTTCAAAAGCTTCATAAGGTCACATGAATTATAATGGACCACGGCCCTTTGAAGAGGAAAGTGGCATGGAAGCAGCCAAGTATAACAAGATCACCGCGTACAGGGTCTAATGACCAGAAGGCAGGTGTCAGTAAGCAGGGTTAACTCAGGGCAAAAATGATATTTTGGTAGCCTCAGCCTCCCCCTCAGTACTTCTCCCCTTCCCTACTTCTTAGAGAATTCCTTCCTCTCTCCTTCAAGGCTTCTGTACCTTCTTATTGTGAGCTGCTTTTTTCCCATCAAATTAAGACACTGCCCTGGTCCCTGGTTGGGACGGATTCCTGGTCCCTCCTAAAGAGCTCAGGGAGAACCAGCCAGGAGAGGGGCAAGGCAGGATCTAAAGAGGCCCTTGTAGCCAACCACCATTTGCTTATTCAAGAACGAGGCATTCATGCTGCTCGTCCTGCCTCTGGACAGGCTTTCTGTCTCCCCATCTCCCCCCTGCTGTGGCCTTTACCTTTTCTCGGTGCTACTTAACCTGCCCACTAAAATCTCCCTTCCTTTCTGCTCCACGGCTCACAGACGGATTTCACAGGCTCTGAGGCACATCTGTTATTGGGTAGTTGAAGGAGATTGTAATGTTGTGATTCTTTTTATTCAATAAAATATATTTTTACTGCTTATGTTATTTTAGGCCTTGACAAAAATGATCAATATTTTATTGCTCTATATTTTATATGTATCTCTACTGACATATACTCTTTCCCTTTATTTTTATAGTCAATTTTTTTTCTTTTTGCTTCCTTATTTTTGGGGGGTTTATACCTCAACTTAATTTTTTTTTAGTTCATATAGAAGACTTCTCTATAAATCTAGAAATAAAAGCACACTTTTCCCTAGTAGCATATACTGAAAAGTAGATAAAGTGTGTATGCCAAGCTGGCATCAGGAATCGTTTTTCTAAAATCACCATTCTCTGACCATCTCCTTTGAACAGCCTTTATCTACCTGGCCACGGTTTTTCATATGCTCCTGGGACACTTAATTCTGACATCTAGTGTTCGTACAGTACCGCAAAACTAACTGCCAACCTCAGTCTGCTTATTTAGTCCCCTGCCGCTGTTAAACAGACAATAACTGGACCATGCCTTTACCATCTTCTGACTCTCTCTTGTTGCTCTGTGACGATGCTCTTCTATGTATTTTCGCTCCTATTCCTGCCCTTTTAAAGGTCAGTTTTATTAAAATCCTTCCCAAAGGAAAACTAAATTACATGGGAAGCTTCTCAGTTTGGGGGATCAGCTATCTATAGAAAAGAACTGTAATTCCATTCATTATAGTAATACCCTTTTTTACACTTCAAATGTTTGACTAATATGCCTCTTGTTAAACATTTGAATAAATGGCTTGAAAGCATGTCACTGCCAGCACCATTTTCTAAAAACCAACTAGCTTTAGAGTGTCTTATAAAGAATGTGGCCCAAGGCAGGGCCTCACACTGCATATCCACAAGGATATTAATTCCCAAAGCTCTGTGCGATCTGAATACCATTTGCTGTCATTTTTCTTCCCCTTTTTCCCCCGGAGAGAAAGCTCAGTTGCTTTTCAAACAAATTATCTGTATTCTAGAAGGGATAAAGCCAAATAAAATTAATGTTATAAATTTAATGATTTAAATTTAGTGATTTTTTTTTTTTTTTGCTGAGTGTTTCTTGGAAAATTTTAAATTGCTTTTCCTCGATTCCATATCTCTATAAAAAAATAGCCGAGTCTAGTGAAATATTAATGAGCGCTTATTTAAATTTACTTCAAACTGAATTTACTTTTCTGGTTTTCAAAACTATTACAAATGTGAAAAAATATTTTCAAAGGCTCCCTTTTTTTAAAAAATCCAAGTTAGCTTTAATAGGAAGGCAATCCTTTTTGCTCTCGATATCAGTGATTTAGGGGGATTTATTAACAATGGTAGAAGGGGAAATGAAAAATGGTCTGAAAATTACACACAAAACAAAATTTAGTATTGTAAAATTTTGTTTCTCAGACTGAATTATGAAATAACATATTCTCTAAGCAAACACAGAAAACAAAATATACTCTCTAGGTTAGGTGGTAAGTGATGATGTAGCCTAGAGTCTTTTCATATTCGACCCCTACTTAATGAAATGTTTGCCATTGATTTAAAACAGAATAATTCACTGGAAACTTTGAAAGGAAAAACACTTCCGTGGTATCCTCACTGCCTAGAACAGTGCCCAATGTTGAATAAAGGTTAAAAGTAAATACTGATGTCTTCCCTGGCTGGCTGCTCTAATCAGGCATTCTTCTGGCTCCCAAGACAGTGCAAAATGAATCCCTAAGATGCAGCCAGTCCAGAGGAAACCTCCAGAGAAATGGACACCGGCTTTCATTCCAAGGGAAAAACACAGAAAGATTATTTTCTTGAACAGAGTCATTATATGACCCCGTAGAGTGTATCAGGTTCAGTTTCACAAGCGGGTGGTGCACTGGGGAAGGAATCAATGGAGCATGAGTCAGGAATCGGGGTCCTTCACGAGACCAATGAAATAAGAAGGATATGGGTGCTCCCTGAAAATCCTTCCGAACAAAAGAAGGGGAGAGGCAGGAAGTCAGGATATATCCGTGCCAGGTTTCAATAAGAATATAGGTATTTTTATTCTGGCCAGACATCCAAGAATGTAGCCCAGCTGTATTCTTGCAGAGGCAAAAAAGAGAATACAGTAAATCCCTTCCTAATATTCTGTCAGCTAGAAATCTGCATACTTGGCCCTTCTGAATCTCTCTGTAATAAAAAGTGGCGACCTGCCCTGGCCGGGTGGCTCAGTTGGTTGGAGTGTCGTCCCATACACCAAAAAGTTGTGGGTTCGGTTCCAGATCAGGGCACATACCCAGGTTGCGGTTCGATCCCCCATCAGGGCATGTACAGGGGGCAATTGATCGATGTTTCTCTCTCACATCGATGTTTCTCTCTCCCTTCCTCTCTCTAAAATCAATAAAAACATATCCTCGGGTGAGGATTTAAAAAATAAATAAATAAAATAAAAAGGGATGATTAGGTTTGGGGGGATTTTTTAAAAATTTATTTTATTGTTGAAAGTATTACAGATGTCCCCCATGGTCTCCCCAGTTCTTCCCCTGTCTGCTGTGTCCATGGGCTGTGCATACATGCTTTTAAGTTCTGTGGTTAATCTCTTCCCGCCCTCCTTCCCACCTTCCCTCAGAGATCTGTCAGCCTGTTTCATGCTTCCATGTCTGTGGTCCTACCTTGTTTGTCAATTTGCTTTGTTCCTTAGATTCCACATATAAGTGAGATCATGTGATATTTGCCCTTGTCAGACTGGCTTATTTTGCTTAGCATAATATTCTCCAGGTCCTGATGATTAGGTTTTTAAGGCATTTTTTATACCACCAAGTAAAGCCACCTTCCTATGGCATTCATTTATTCCACAGCCAATGAAGCCCACTCTGCTGCAGGCACTAATTCATCCCCTGGGTGGATCAGATGCTCAATAAGAGCTACATGGCGAGTGCCTCAGGAGCACGTGGCAGAACAGGGCGCCATAAAAATGTACACAACAGGGCAATATAATTTCTTTTTTTATATATGGTTTTTATTGATTTTTTTTTAGAGAGAGAGGAAGGGAGAGATAGAAACATTGACTGGCTGCCTCCTGCTCTCCCCTTACTGGGTAGGGATTGAGCCTGCAACCTGGGCATGTGTCCTGACCGGGAACTGAACCGGTGGCCTTTTGGTTCACTGGATGATGCCTAACCAACTGAGCCACACAGGCCAAGGCACAGCACAATTTCTAATTCCCACGATCCATGTATAGGATAGACATTTTTATGTAAAGATTTTATTTTTTTTTCCAGAGAATCTAGACATCCAAAGTGGCAAAGAATTGGCTGTATTGAGGGACAGTAAACTGTAATTATCAAGATAATGACTGAGAAAGAATAACATTGTATAAGAGAAAAGAAATGGAGGTATATTAGTGAAGATAATTATCAGAATAAATTTAGTAAAAGAGAAAAATAGTCAAGGGATGACTATATAAAATCTATTTAGATACTTATGAAATATAATTCAATTTAGTATATAATTTTATTTTTATTTTTTTAAATATATCTTTATTGATTTCAGAGAGAGGAAAGGAGAGGGGGAGAGAGAGAGAGAAACATCAATGATGAGAGAGTCATTGATCGAGCCCACGACCCGGGCATGTGCCCTGACGGGGAATCGAACCCTGATTGCCTGGATCCCAGGTCGACGCTCAACCGCTGAGCCATGCCCGGCTGGGCTCAACTTAGTATATAATTTTAAACTAGAGATATGCACAAGACAAGGATCATGACTGAATATTTATTTGGAATACCAAACTTTGGGCTTTTCCGTATATGCCCTAATTATGCTCATACCATACACAGTTCTTAAGTCATTCACCCAACAGTGAAACCAAGGTATTAAACTTCAAAGTCTAATTTGGACTCTGAATTTGCACATACAAAAAGCAACCAATGAATGCATAAATAAAAGGAACAACAAATCAATGTCTGTCTGTCTCTCTCTCAATAAAATAAGAAAAATAATTAACTGTTCCTTATGATTCTCAGTGAAGAGATTCATCAAGCGCAGGGGTCAGTAAACTACTTCTGTACAAGGTCACATAAGACTATGTGGGCCAAACATTCTGTCACAACTACTCAATTCAGCCTTTGCTGCATGAAAGCAGCCACTGACAATGCATGAATGAATGGTGATACTTTGAACCCAATCTCCCTGATCCATTGTTCAATTCATTTAAGACTCAAGTGAGAAAAAGAAGTTGTTTTGGAATAGAAACATTGATAATAACTTCTTTCAGATATAAAAATAAGGAAAGCCAGCTAGAAGTTCATTATTTTCCTTTCCCTAAAAAAGAAATAAAAATGAAAGTAAGCACTCACCTGAACATATAGTTCTCTCAGTTCATACTGAAATTTCTTGGGATCTGTGGTAATTGTCACTGGGCCAATTTCTGTGAAGATAAAAATGACATAGATAAATAAATAGCAATCAACAGCATAAAAGATTTAATGCTCTGTGTTTGCAAATGTCTTCTCACTGTGCACTACATGGTTATTTTTTACTACAAAATAATCTGCAAAAAGACAGACTATTTCTTAATTTATACTTACCAAAGAATAACTTATAATTTGCTGTAAATTATGCATACCTAAAAGAGTAGGTTTTTAGCCTTGCAAAATACAACTGAGTAATCAAAAATGTCACAAGACAAAGAGGGGATTCCAGTTTCAGTCCCTTTTTACTTTCACAGGTCAGTATTTATTGAACACCTACTATGTTATTGGACTCTAAATGAATCACTTATTCATCTTATGATTCTGTTTTTTCAACTATAAATTGTAAATGTGGCTGCAGCTTTTCTGGAAGTCCGAATTCACTTCAAATGAACAGGTGAACACTAAACAAACAGACAAAAAGAACAAATGGCCTTCAATACCTATTCCACAGGGTTTTTAAGAACTTGCAGAAGTAAAGATATGAGAACATTAAAAGTTCAGGATATTGTCCCTGTCACTTTCTTTCCCATGGCTGGGGTTGATGTCCATTGTTACCACCATTCTCCTGAGCTGGCTTTGACCACCATGGTTATTTCTAGGGTCGCTGCCCCTCTCATAACTGCCCTGATGTATTGCAAACATCGCTGCTTCCAAGAGAAACGGGTGGGAGCCATGGCACTCATGGAAAACCAGGAGCAAAGTCAGGTGAAGAGAATGATCCCAGATTCCAATGTGGGGTGAGTTTTCAATATTTGTTTTTAGGATATAGCATGTCTATTGGAAACACTTTCACCTCTTTTAAAGACGAAAAATCAACCTTTAAAATAGACAAGGGGAAAGTGGCCCTTACAGGTGTTAAAGACTTTCCCCAGAAAACACCTATATATCAAAATAATAATATTAAAATTCATCTGAGTATCATATGTGCAGACAATACCATCTTAAATTCCCAGGGTAGATAAAAAAAAAAGTTCCTATTACATCTAATGAATATATAGGCAGCATTCAAAATTGTAATATGCAACTACAGCACAAAATCATAAAAAATACTTAACATTTAGTTTTTACAAGACATTTTCTAGCTTCAAAGAAACACTGCTAGAAAAGGGTTTTGTGACTTCAAAGGAGAAGCATTAATTAGCCAGGCCTTCTATAATGAGCTCAATGTGATACAAAAACAGACTAGGATTTTAGAAACAAAAGAAGCAAATTGGAAAAGAAGCACAATTTGTCCACCATAACCCACGTAATTGTTTTTAGAAACTACATGAAAAAATGATCTCCATTCTTCACCACAGATTAGACACCTCGCAGTATGCAAAAGGAATGGAGAGGCAATGGGAGAAACTGTGAAAATGCAAACATCTACATTCCATACAGAGCGGAGCAGTCATGAGCTATGTAAAAGTCACGTCCCAAGTATATGGAAAATCGGCGAAGCCTACTCCCTGAAGACTAAACAAAGGCATACTTTGCAAAGGAATGCCAAACAGCGCAGAACATGCCAGGCAGTCACACTGACATATAAATTGTCAGCAGGATTGTCAGGCCAAGCCTCTATGTTCCTACATGGCTTAATACTGAAATAATTCTAGAGCTCAAAACTCAAGCAGCAGGAAGGTATGCAAAAAAATGCTAGAGAAAAGCCATCACGGATCAATGAAAAGTGCATACATGCAACAACATTCCCTTTAATAACAATTTTTAAAAAGAGCCCTGGATATATGCCTGTTCTTCAAGGGTGGAGACCAAGAAATGCTATTAAAATAAGAGAACCGATTAGCCTTCATTTAGTTTTCCAGAGACTCCAATATCCACCTGTGTTCAAAAAAGATAGGAAATCTCTGCTGCAGCTCATTAATAAACATTTTTGCAAACCACATGGACAGCTGAGATAAATCTTTTATCAGTTATGAGAAATACTCAGGAGAGGTAAAGACTTGTGGAACTGCCATATCCTTCCAGCTGTAAGCATCCTTTCCAACTCTTCTGGAACTGAATGATACGACTATTTGGCAGAACCGGCCCTCCTCCCTTCAGGACTCGCCTCCATCCCAGGCTTTCCCTTCTCTTGGTGGAGCCTGTGCCAGTCCCGTCATGAGCAGTTTCCTCCTCTCTTCCTTTCTGCTCATGCCGGTTTCATCCCCTGCCAAGCCTTTGATGACATTCAGCAGGTACAACTTTGTCTTCTCTTCCTGCCTGAACATGGTCCTCCGTTGCTCAGAGTTAAGTGAGAAGTCTCCAAGGCGTTCCAGGCCCTCCCTTCTATCAATCCAACCCTCCAAATTCACCAGCACCCTTGACCTGGCATGGAGCTACTGTGCTTCCTCGCCACCCCCGGGGCCACCCCCACCGCCTTTCATCTGCCCATCCACCTCTTGTTCTGTAAAGCCCCAGTTAAGCCCTATCCCCTTGAATGTTTTGCCTTTTCTCTAATTTGCTTTAATGTTATTTTGATAGTATTTGTATAATAAATACACGGGAAGAATGAAGGTGCGTTAACATTTAACGGAATGCAGAGATCCTCTCCACCTCGTTCAATTAATGGTACCCAACTGTTTCCAAAGAAAAGCCACCAAAAAAATAATAAAACCACCGTCCATCTCCAAAGAGAATCATCGAGCTAGAAGAGGCATTAAAGATCATTTGGTTCAATCCCCTTTTCTACCTTCAAGAAAATAAGAGGCCCAGAGAAGATGGAACTGAAAACCTTTGGCAGTAAGGAAAGAGGTTAAGATATCTGAAAACATTTCTACACGGAGTAAACTGCGCGGCTCTCTAACATTTCCTGTCTCCCAAGATCTCCATTCTGTCACCGATCACATCACCACTAACTTTCTCCTTTCCTCTGGACCACGGGCAGGACAGGCCATGGTCCAGACACCTAATTTGATGCACACAACATCCAGAATTCTTTACTGTCACATGCCTAGGCATCATCTTTAATAGACCAATATATCTCTCCCCCTTGCCTAGTAGATACTATAATTAAACACACAGAGAAACCTCACTGGAAAATTCCTTCTACAATCCATTTAACAAACACATATTGAGCATCTAGTATATGTGGTTGATGCGGTTGTCCCTGGTAACAAGGCTAAACAAACATGAACCCTGCCCTCAAGTCCTGACGGTCTGGTGGAGAAGATAAAACTGCAAATATGCAATCACAGTACAATGCAGCAAGTGCAGAAACATAAGTATGGAAAAGGAAGTGTGGAAGCACAAATTCATATAGAGAACGTGTTTTATTTGTGCTTTTAGAAACAACCAAGGGAGATTTCCAGAAGGAGATGAAAATGCAGGATTTCAAATGAAAGAAAACAAATCCTTTATAAGGCTAATTTCTTTTTAAATGCTATATACCAAGTTTACTAGGTAATCCCATATTCTATCAAATTACTGTTATTCCCTGTAAGTATCTATCTTTACAAGTATTTTTACAATTCACAATGCTTGGTGACATAGAGTGACTCCCTCTGAGCCTCACAACAACCTCATAAAAAAGGCAGAAGAGATACAATTACATGAACAATTGGAGGTTAGGTGATAAGCCAAGGCCACCCAGTGCCCTGTGCCTGGGACACAGCAGCATCTACCACATGACACTGCGTGACACTGACTGCCACTGCTTTTGTGTCTCCCTCACCTGACTGTCAGTAAAAGGAGATGAATGGTCTCAATGTACCTACAGTAGATTCTCAATAAATGTTTCAAGATGGAAAGTAGGGAGGCAAGAAAAAAAAAGAATGAAGGTTAAACCCAGACCCTTTCTTTCTTTCATTACACCATGGAGCCTCCGTGCTACTACGGAAGATCATGCTACATGGTCGGCGTTACACTGATCAGCCAACCAAAGCTTTTCCGTTTCCTCTGCTAACCAAAACGTTTTGTTCTTGACTTGAATCAAGGAATTGATGTAGGTAATCAACAGACGATTTTCCACATACAGTGAATCTTTAAAAACAAAAGAATCCTTAAGGTAACGTGTATTATTACAAATAGGAGAAATGTGTCTCTCTTCGGAAGACCACGTTTGATTTTTAAAAAACATCTGAAACTAAGGAAGTCTTTCCTCTTTTCATTAATTTTGTTATTAATGAAACTCTAAGGAAGTCTTTCCTCTTTTCATTAATTTTGTTATTGCCCGTTTCCTAGCGATTTATCAGATGCTTGGATTTTGTTTCCAGCATCTCAGCCATTGTTCTTGTAATCTGAGTTGCTGCTGGATTGTATTTGAGAAAATAATGGAAAGAAATTCACAAGGTCGTATTTTCTTTCACTGCTTCACTTGGCAAGATCGATATCCAGTTGCTCATTTCCTTTTTCCTTTCCACGAACAGGCTTCTGCTCCTTACAGTGTTCCTTCTTCACTCAGAGTGGTTCCTTGATAATATGAGGAAGATTGATTGCTGCTTCTTGGGGTCTAAACACAGCATGTGAATGATTTGATAAGGGTTCAAATTGTCTTTGTTTTTTAAAACATACGTGTATATATAGTTCTTAACCTTACACAGGGTATCCCAAAAACATGTGTACACACTTAACAACTGATAGTTCAATTGATGTTTCTTTCTTTTCAGATTTAACCCACTGAAATTGATTATTATTCAAAGCGTGTATACATGTTGCTGGGACACCGTGTATTTATAGTTACACATAAATATGTGAGAAGTTAAAATGAGAACTCTCTAAGCTGCATTATTGATTAGTTTATAATCAATATTTATAAAACATAGAAGCAAAGAAATATATAAATCACTAGGCCTGCCATGATGGAAATTTAAATATAGTTTGAAATCTTAAAAAAATACCAAGCAATGAAAAGTTTAAAAATCTAATCTAGCCTCTGGGAACAGCCATGTGATACAGAGGCGGAGGGGCAGCAAGATTTCTCAGTGTCCCGAGCGGATAGAGACCCCCCTGAGCTCTCTGGAAGCACATCGTAAAGGCA